TATCCCACACTAACTAGAGTTCTAAAAAATAAAAACTAATTATTCTATTGTAGTTGTGAAACAAAGATCACAATAAGATCTAAAATATCTTATCATAAAACTATAACTAACAAATCATAGATAATCTAAAACTCTCCATAATCCTAATTTGACGAACCAAATTGAATAAAAAAACTAGTTTTAATCTTAATCTGTAAAATACTCCAGACCCAATAACTAATCTAGCTTGAGTACCCACTTTGTTCCCACATCACACTTGTTGACTTGTATACAAATGGTGTAACATTTAAACCATATACAATATGGAGTATTTCACGAGATATTTTTTGTAAACGGATTTTTAAAAATTTATTTTTTATAGAAAAATTATGGGGTTAGCATATACCCCTCGGGTTACAATTAAAGTAGGCCACTGGTCACCGAAGAAGACAAGAATGTTGGCTTGTTGCTTATGCTAGCTAGTGGCCATGTACAGCGATAGGATGACTCGGAAAGATTTTTGGATCACAATTGTTTAATGTTATAACCATATTCACAATAGATTTTTGTAAATAAGAATGTTGGCTTTTTGCTAATGCTAAGCCGTGTAGTGACATGTACAAGTTATAGGATGAAACTTAGTTTTCATTGTGTACTACATTTGCAATAACAAAAACGTGGATTTTTGGACCACAATTGTGCGATGCTTAAACCATATACAGTACGGAGTATTTCACGTACAAGAGATTTTTTATAAACAGTTTTTGTTTTTTCTTTTTATAAAAAATTTACAGGGGTAACACGTGTACAATGTAGGTCCGTTAGTGATGACCCAGTAGATAAGAATGTTTGCTTGTTGCTAATGCTAGCTGAAGGCCAGGTAGCGACATGTACAGTGATAGGATGAAATTAGTTTTCATTTTAATACATTTGCAATAACAAAAATGCGCGTGGATATGTATATTTACCTATGTACTCAGAAAGATTTTTTGACCACAATTGTGTAAAGACGGTAAAGTTTATAAAGTTTTTTAAGAGAATTTTTTTATTTTCTTTTTTATAGGGGTAGCACAGTGATTGGCTTGTTGCTAAAGCTAGCTAGAGACAAGTAGCGACATGTCAAAACTCAATAAGATTGGTATTCACCTCGCACAAACTAGATAGATTTTCATTGTAATAGAGTAAAAAACATATTTTTGAGCATCAATCGTTAGCTGAACCTTTTGGTTAACTTGACCTGTTAATACATTGGATTAAGCATAAGCCATGTCAAAGATGAGTTTATAGTACATGTACAAAGTTACCTTACAAAGTTACAAGTCATGTGGGATTGCATTCTAAATTTGTGATTTTGAGTTAAGTCGTCCACCAAATTTTGAATTAATCACTCTCCCTTCTTTTACTGTCACAATTATTAACAATTCGCTAGATATTTAAAGATTAATCATCAAGACGTCAATAACCCCTTCTCATATCCTTTCAACTCGTTATAATAATTGTAGTATTTCTTCTGTATTAACTATGTTGTTACAATATCTAATTCAACCTAATCTATCTTGACCTAACCATGATTTTTACCTCACTAAACCAACATAATTTTACAACAATCTTATATTAACCTAAATTTTTTTTTAACTTAAACATAATTACTTCGATTCATGTAATTATTTATTTAATTAATTGCTAAGAACTTTTTTTACTTAAATATGACACAACAACATGTGGCCATCCTCAATTTATCTATAATTAGTTCATTTCTTATTGTCTAATTTATATAGATATGGTAAGGTATTGACAAATTGTGACTTAAAAGATAAAACTTATACATGACGGACCTAATCTACTAACAAAACTAAGAAATATTAATGACACAATATGAAAGATAATACATAAAAGACCTAATAGTGACCCAATGATAAGGTATTAACTCAATAATTATCCTGGTTTAATAATGCCCTTATTTAAATATATAATTTGGTCATGTTGACCCAAATTTAGACAAACTCAATGCAATAAGGTTTTGAATTGGGTCGGAATTGACTTAATAATGACTCAGTTGTATCATAATCAAACTAAACTGAATAAAAATTATTTGAACCGTAATCAATCCCACCCAAAGTCATTTGACCCAAAATTAATCCAATCCAGCTAATATAAGTTTGAGCTCGATACGAATATATCAGAAGCGAATATGAATGAAGTTGACCCAACCAAAACACAACGCTAAATCGATTGATCTTTACCCGATCCTAACCGAGGTGGGTGAAAATGGTAACTTAGATATTTTATTACTTAATGTAGAAATATGTTTGGTAAATAGATGATTATTTAAAGCTGATTGATTATGTAAAATGATCAATAAGCCAATTGTGGGGTAATTAGTTCATATACTATTTTTTTTCTTAAATGAGGGTATAAGTATCATTTCACTATAAGAATTGAATAAACTAATTAAAAAAGCCCCTAAAATGAGCTTTTTGAAAAAGAGCTTATTTAGTAGAATAACCTCTTTAAATAAGCTTCCCATCAAACACCTTGAATTAGCTTATTTATAAAGTACGTTGGAGCTAGTAAGATATTTATAACGATAACATGTCGTACATTATTGTTCTTCATAAAACCTTCTTAATCAAGAACATTATATATAATGATGAGTACATGCGTAGTAATGCACTTTGGAGCGAGGAAGACGCCGCGGCAATTAAGCTTTAATGAAAAAAAACATTAGGCCAGTACTGAAATAATCATCTGGCCTTATTGGAAATAGACTTAACCAAATCATACGGTGGTCATCTGTGAGATTATCAATACTACCATCGATAGCCCCGCATACTATATCTTTCTTGGTTGCAAACGCATCGATCGTATTACTTGATGGACAGTACTCGAGTTGGTAAAACCCCGGATCACCTCTTCTTTTCTCTATCTTGAACCAATTGGCGGCGGTCTGAGGGCTCGGGTTTCCAATACCACCTCCGGTAGACAAGAAGAGATCACCGGAGTTGGCATCGGGGGTAAGTTGCCATGCCCCTTGCGAGCAGGCACTAAATGAGTTGTTGAAGACTACGTTGACGTCTGAGGAAATGTGGACATGTTTATGTGATGGGTCTGATGGGAGGAACTTTATTGGGGATTCGCGGTACCAGCCTTCGCCTAATTGGGCTACGTATTGAGGGCATTCGGGTTGGTTTGGTTTGGATGCCGCGACTATGCCACCTCCCCATCTAAATGTTGACTGGGGAGTACGGACGTAGTAAAATGAACCTGCTTCGAGTGGGTTCCCTTCGATATCTAGGACAAGGGAGTCTACGTTGTTGGCGGTTGTGGCTGAAGAAACCATGGAAATAGAGAACATAAGGAGGATTGTGGTGTAAAGTTGGAGATAAAAATTAGCCATCTTTTTAGGGTTTGTTCGTTCTTTATTTTTGGAGTTTGAAATATGATGTAAACAAGAGCTCTGGAACTTAAATATATATATAAAAAAAAAAAAAAAAAAAAAAAAAAAAGCTATGTAAACCACCTCACATTTCTTCAGACCTCAACATTTGAAAATTCTACTACCAAAAATTTTAAAATTGTACTGTTGTGATTTAATGATTTTTAAATTATTTTTAAATGCTAAAATTTATTTTTCTCATTTTTAGGAATTCGTTGTAAATATTTGAAAATTAGTCATTCTAATTTTTTATTTTTTTCAATATATATTATTTTCTTTACAATATATAACAACTTTGTTTCTGTTTTATTTATTTATATATATATATATACCGATACATGGTGCACTCGGGTGCAGGGATGGATACAGCTAACACCAAGGGTATGTATGTGCATAACCTACATGTGCATTAAAATAAAATTTATAGCAGCTTTATGGCAAACCATTAAGCGTAGCTAGCTGTTTATCTAATTGTCTATTAAGCGTTATTTGCTTCCTTGAATTGTCACTTTAGTCTATAGTTGGAATCCATTGTTAAACAATTTTCCCAACTATTATTTTTGCTGACTACTACATGTTAAGATCGTTTATGCAAACAGGTTAGGATTATTGTCTATTAAGTAAATAATTGTGCACACCTTGTTTGTAAATTCTGAATACGCCACTACCCAGGTGCATAGATTAAGAATTATGTATAAAGAAGTTTTCTGATCATAATTATCCCGCCAAGTGAACATTTCACATAGGAAAGTGGAGCTTAAAATGTGTTTTGATTATGTGGTAATTTATTGCTCGAAGTGTCAAATTTAGTCCATAAACTATTTTTTGTCAATACTTTTGCCAACTCAGCATAGAATATTAATAATTTAATTAATGTCGACGGAAAACAAATGACACATACCAAAGTAAGATCCCTAAACTCTTACTGATTATGATTAGTTTCTAAACTATTTGGTCATAAAACACCTACATTGGCTGTTGAAGGATCAAAAGTGACATTTAAGAGTTAAGGGATCAAAAGTGCACAAGTAAAATAGTTTATTAGAGACTTTAATTTTACTTAACATTTTTTTTTCTTTCACTTCATACAGTTTTGCGTCATTTATTCAAAATATATAAATAAATAAATAAAAATTACATTATAATTTTTTTCTCGCCGTTGAGGATCATTATGTAATAATCTTTGAAAAAACATTTACTCGTACCATAATTGTCACCGATTATATTTTGGATTAAATAACAAGATAGCATTTGCTTGGGACATGGACCACATTGTCCACATAGTGGTTTACTGGTGGTCTTCAGAATTTAGAACTTCAAATACAAGTTCAAAATTTATGAGGCCAAAAGATTTTCACATAAGATATTTTCCCGTTAGTACCTTACCTAAACAAAAAGTAATACACAAAACTTTTTAATGGTTACACAAAACTTGCAATCATTCTAACTTTTAATCATATCATAGCTGTTGAATTTTTAAAAGTTAGTCTCATTTGTTAATTTTTAAAATCATTTGTAATTTTTGTTTGGCTTGGATCGAAAAAGTGTTTGTTATTAATAAGACGTTGATGAGTACGTGCTCAAATGAAGAGAAATTTCCAAGATAAATTCTTGTTATTAATAAGACATCATACATTATTTTTCATCATACAACCTTATTATAATTTATATGATTGATTACATTCGTAGCAATGTAGATTGGAGCAAGAAAGACCTCGCGACACTTAAGCTTTAATGAAACTTAGAACGTGGAAGAAATTTGGATTTCCTGGAACTAGACCTAACCACAACATCCTGTTGTCATCTGTGGCGTCAGTAGCATCAATAGCGCCGCATACAATATCTCTCTTAGCTTCAAACCCATCGATCGTACTACTAGACGGACAATATTCGAGTTGGTAAAAGCCCGAACTAGCAATACTGTTTTCTATCTTGAACCAATTGGCTGCGGTCTGAGGGCTCGGGTTTCCAATACCACCTCCGGTAGACAAGTGGAGACTACCGGAGTTGGCGTCGGGGGTAAGTTGCCATGCCCCTTGCGAGCAGACGCTGGATGAGGTGTTGAACATTATATTAAGGTCAGAGGAAATGTGGATGTGTTTATGTGATGGGTCTGATGGTAGGAATGTAATTGGGGATTCGCCGTACCAGCCTACGGCTAATTGGGCTACGTATTGAGGGCATTCAGGTTGGTTTGGTTTGGATGCCGCGACTATGCCACCCCCAATACCGAGTTGTGAAAGTACCGTGCGGACATAGTAGGACAAGCCTACTTCGAGTGGGTTCCCTTCGACGTCTAGGACGAGGTCTTTGGTGGCTGTCTTTGCAGCTCCGATGGAAAGGAAAGAGATGAGGAAGATTGTTGCTGAAAATTGGATGATAAGATTAGCCATTTGTGCGTTTTTATTTTTGAAGTTTGATGAGAAAAGTTGGAGGGTAAGGAACTAAGGATTGTGAAACAGGGGAAGAGTTATTTATAGAAGAGGCTAAAAGCCAGGGCATTTTCTACAAGTGCCTCTTAATTTTGAGCTCAACATAATACCAATTGGGAGTTTTGGGCATGTGATAGAGAGGATACAAGTGTAAATTCCGAATTACAATCTATAAGGAAAATGAGACTCTATTAGATTGAATGGAATTAAATTGGACTGAACTGGACTAAATCATTGAGAATTAAATAGGAATCAAGTCAATAATTTCTTAAGAAAAAAGTCTTAAATTTTTTATTTTATTAAATGTAGGAATATGGTTTAATGGAACTTATTTGGTTCATATCCCAAGCAAAATATCTAATTAAACTTCCCCTTCTCTTTCATTATTCGTAGCGATATTGGTTTATTGGGAACAATAATAGATGCTTTAAATGTCAAATATGGGTCTGGGCCGCACTCGCAAATCAAGAGAGAGAGTCTACTTTTATACAACTGAGGAAGTTCCATATCCAAACTATATTAGAATAGGAGGAGTAGCTCCTTGGACTTATAAAGTGTTTAACTCTCTCTTCTTTTCTCAGTATGGGACACCTACATGTATTATTTGGTATGTAGGATAATTCAACACTCCCCCTCACATGTAAGACTCCTTTAACTGAAGGATCACTTGATCCAATTCTCTCTCTTTTTTTTTTTTTATCGAATTCAATTTAGCCCAAAATACTTAATGCCATTAAAGGTCTCAAACCTTGGGCCTTGGCAATATACTTAAGTCATTAGAGATCCCATACCGGAACTTGGCTCTGATACTATGTCAAATATAGGTATGGGCCGCACCTGCAAATCAAGAGAGATTCCACTTTTAAACAACCAAAGATGTTCCATCTCAAAATCATATGGCAATAGGAAGACTAGCTCATTAATTAGCCTTATAAAGAGTTTAACTATCTCGTCTTTCCTCAATGTAGAACTCTTACTTGTGTTATTTGGTAGGATATAGTTCAACATTTAATAATTCGACAAGAATATATTATTGGGTATTTGTATTTCAACCTAATGTACTGTTTGCCTCTTAATTGTAATTACTAATTAAAATTAATTATTTTTTGTATGAATATGTGCTAACAATGTTTAAAATTTTGTTTACAATTGATTATGCAACAATCATACATGTAAGGATAATTTGTAAATTACCACCCAACAAATAGACCAATTTTGATATAACCACCCAAAAAATAATTTATTTTAAATTACCACCCACTTAATTAAAAAAACGCTCAGATTACCATCCATTTAGAATTTCCGGTGGAATTTCCGTCAGTGGGCCCCACTTTTTTTATTTTTTTCCTTTTTTTCTTCTATTTTATGGCTTTGTCACTCTCTCTCCCCGATTTCACTCTTCTTCTTCCTACCTTCTTTCTTTCTTCTTCCCAACTACCACCACCACCATTGCTCCACCTTTCCCCTCCTCTTTTTCCGTCGCGCCTGCCAACAACAACCCGCAACAACAACATCAACAAACAACCACCAGTTCAGCCACCATAATTACCACCAGTTCGCCTACCGCAAACACTAATACGGCAACCTCTGCAGCCCGCAATCACCAATTAGCGTACTGCAAACAACAATTCGGCAACCAATAACTCCAATTTCGGGATTTAATTGAAGCAATTTGGCAAAGAACATCTTCAATTCGATTTAGGGTTCATGCTTCAATTGAATTGGGGGTTTTCTTAAATTAGGGTTCCTATTTTAAGAAAACCCCCAATTCTTTCTTCTTATAAAAGCATCAAAAAGATGGTTGTTAACTGCAAGATGAAACACGCTTAAATGCAGAAGGAGCAAATTCCTCAAATTCTTTAAAGATAGCTATTTTATTTCGCATTACTGCGTGATGCAGAGGAGCAAAGCCATGATTGTCACAAGATTGAGCAAGGTTAGGATTCAATCGGAGCAACATTTTTGCGATGTCAGTTTTACCATATTCACAAGCATAGTGCAGTAAGTTAAGTCCATCTTCATCTGATCTTTCCACAATAATTGGACACGCTTCTATTAGCTCCCTGATAATAGTGGTGGAGCAATGGTGGTGGTTGGGAAGAAAAAAGAAAGAAGGTAGGAAGAAGAAGAGTGAAATCGGGAAGACAGAGTGAGAAAGCCATAAAATAGAAGAAAAAAAGGGAAAAAAATCAAAAAGGTGGGGCCCACTAACGGAAATTCCACCGAAAATTCTAAATGGGTGGTAATCTGAGCGTTTTTTTAATTTAATGGGTGGTAAATTAAAATAAATTATTTTTTGGGTGGTTATATCAAAATTGGTCTATTTGTTGGGTGGTAATTTACAAATTATCCTACATGTAATTTAGGAAGAATTCATTGGCGATTCTTTCATACTTGAAATTTTCAACAAAATTTTGCTATTACCACTTATAATTTTCATTTAAAAATGTAATTATGTGCAACTGTGGTGCATGCTCATCACTTATGTAAATATGCAACGAGCAACGTTTTGTGCGAGCATGCTTGCTTAATTTACGAATGGTTTTGGTACTAGGTACCCTTTGCAAGTTGATCGATGTTATTGTTACCCCAGAAAATTGTTAAATTAATGAATCTTAACTTGTACTTTGTACCAAACTAGTCAAAACTTGTCGGCCTCTTTAGAATACGACCACCCATTTTATACTTGAAGCTTGTTGAACACAACATCAGATTTGGGTTTTGATGGGATTTAACTTTTATAGAATGTACATATCGTACAGGCTATCGTATTAAAATTTGAGTTTAGATTTAGATCCTCGTCTCCCAACCCAAAAATTATATTAATTGACAGAATATAAATAGATACGAAATGAAAGAGAGTAATAAAACATAACTCAGCTCCGTTCATGAATAATTTCATAAACTAGAAGAGGAATTTATTCATCCGTGGACTATATAATACATACGAAGTATATATATAGCCACATTATACGACGTACACTTACACAGTTACATAATATATACATAAGTGCCAAATAAACTTAATTAAACATAAGAAGCTAATTTTGGAAAAGCTTTGACGAAAGTGACAGGATAAAGAGAATTAGGGGCGACTGCCAAAAGGCCGTTGACAAATGTAACATCGTTACACTCCATTTCCGACACTCTAAATAATTTGGACTCAATTGTGTGACAAAACTTTATATTATACACATTCTTACCAGTTTTAGCTTCTTCAATTTTGAATGCATAAGTGTCCTTAAATTCACCATCAGCACCAACAATAACGTACGAATTATTGTTTTCGTCTTCCTCGGCTACCCACCACCGTAACTCTTTGTTGCAAGTAGCGTACACACGATTAAAGTAGAATTCAATTGGCATAGAGGTCATAAGAAACCTAATTCTCAAAGGGGAAGACATTGATATAGGTAAGCCCTTAGTGTAGAGTTCTTGGGTGATAAAAAGAGGGCATGGTGACGACGTGTTGCCTTCTGTCAAGGCTAGGCCACCAGTGCCTAATAAGTGTGGGATGATGTGGTAGTTTCCCCCGTTTATGACTAGGTCGCCGTCTGTGTCTAGGACAGGGGCGGCAACACTAGAAACGGGGGACAGAACCAAGAGAAGAAGAGTAACTGCAGCAACTGGGAGGAGAAATGAAGCCATTTCTCTATTTTAGTGTATCACTTTTGCTAGGGTTATATTGTTTTCTTTTGTTGTGTTTTGTGGGTTGATGAGGAACTGAAACAGAAGGATGCTATTTATAGAAAATTGTGATGATTATACAATTTTTTTTTTTTACTACTTACAGTAGTTACAAATAAACGCAGTATTTGCGCGTAACGCCTATATGCTTCAGAAACAACTAGAACGAACATTTTTGTGAATAATGGGAATATAATTAAAAAAAGAGAGATAACTTATACTTTAATGGTATATTATAAATGCATAATAGTATATAAATATCTATTACGGGATATTAAGACAATTTATACTTAATGATACATTATACATGCATAATAATACATAAAATTGTACCAATATACCATTATAAGAGAGAAACATCAAGATGCACTCTTACATGATGTGCTTGAGTATTAATTATTTGTTGATAAGATTGTCAATGTAAAGTCAGTATTATATGGAGTCCAACAATATTGTGTAAAGATAGTACGGAGTATGAGGTATGACATGAATCAAAAATAAATATGATTCTTGTAATGTGCAAACCATGTCTACCAAATATTAAGCTATATTTTCAAACATAAAAAAGGTATTTCTCATTGATAGTCATATACATTTGTTGATTCTTACATTCTACTTAAAAAGAGAATGACTCGTTTGAATTATTAATTATGTTACTTTATCTATAGTTTTCATCAGGACCCGCATATTAAATTTTATTGTTGTATTCAATAGACAATCGCCAAGTATCATTCTATTAATCTAGGTATTTAACATGTGAAAAAATTTGGAGGTGCATATAGCATATTCTGCTTTAAACTTGTCGGCTACAGTTCTGATCACTATCAATCAATAAACAAGTAAGGTATGATAGAATGATACTCCTATTTACTCCCTCCGCCCCCTTTTGATAGTTCCTTATGGACAAATTTTAGTCCCAAAACGTTCACCTCATTTGCTTTTTCCACCAACCATTAATACAAAGTATTAAATTTTTACCAAAATTCCCTCCAATTTGCAACAATATTTGTGCAAATTTAACTTTCCCATGTACATTTAGTTTTCCCGTGTACTTTTATTACTTTATCTCTCAACTTTTTTACATACTCAATGTCAATTTACTTTTTCAATGTACTTTAACTATTCTTATTTGTGTTTATTAATTCCCGTGAAAATGCTCAAAAAGAACTATCAAAAGAGGACGAAGTGAGTACTAATTAAACGGAGTATTTATCTTTGTTGACATGATTTATTATTTTTCTGTCATTCTTTTTTTTTTTTTTTTTGAGTTGTAAAATTTGGCAATTATTATACAAAAAAGTGACTTGATTATTACCATTTTAAAAAATGTTACTTAAAATAACACGTGTTATTAATTATTACTCTTAAATTTGATTAATCGTATGTTTATTACTCCAATCTTTTTCTAGCGAATTAGCTTAATTATGACCT